TCCTATTTTAATTTTTGTTTTGAAAGTATGGTAAAAACTGGTCAAATGTACCAACAATCACATTTAAAAAAATACACTTTTTGATATACCATTAAAAACAAAACAGGTAGCCCATCTGAATTCGGACATTTAGGCTATCCATCTAACAGTAGCCCACCAAAATCTTATTAACAGTAGAAGTTAAATCTTACTGTAGTCTTCAAATCTGGGTACTGTCTTATGTTTTAAAATCACAAAGGGAGTTTGGTCCCATCAGGCTAACGTGACAGTCACGATTCATGCAGCTGTAAGGTTTTCTTTCTCTTTTGTTTTTACTCGCGATCTTTACAACACGCATGACATTACGTATTTCATGGCACACTCGTTTTATGCGTAGTTGGCATCACCTATTGTTGTGGGTGTATTATTGACATGTCAAAGTCTAGACCCTGAACATAAGATGACCGCGATTTTTCAGATGTATTTCCAACAAAAAAACATTGTTTTATATTCGGGACAATACGGTATATACGGTGAAAAACTGTACTGGACATTACATGTATCAGACATTAATATTACGGTAGTATACCGTTTTTGGAAGTGAAAAAGACCGTATAATTTACAGTGAATAACCGTAAATTGACATTCCCAGAATTCCCTGCGTTACATTTAAATTTGATGTTTTTTTGTTGAAATAACTATGTTTCTTCTTAGTTTATTCTTATCAGTTTTGTATATTAGGGTTGTGTGTTACACCTAATGTTGTTAAATGAATGTTTATTGCATTATTTCAGTTTGATGTGTGTTACCGTGATGGTGTTTAGTGTTTGTGTGAATGACGCTGTGCTCCTTCTATAGATGTTAATATTTAAAAGCTGCTTGTGATGGGCTTTGGTTCATCACGTGACTTTCTCATCACCTCCTGCATTTGGTGGTTATCAGTGTATCACAAAGCTACAAAACAGATTTCAGTACCGTGATGGTGTTTAGTGTTTGTGTGAATGACGCTGTGCTCCTTCTATAGATGTTAATATTTAAAAGCTGCTTGTGATGGGCTTTGGTTCATCACGTGACTTTCTCATCACCTCCTGCATTTGGTGGTTATCAGTGTATTATAAAGGTACAAAACAGATTTCAGTACTTCAATAGGTTGGTATATTAACATTATATCAGTTAATGAAATTACGGTATTTAACTGAAAATTTAAGTTAAAACCGTAAAACCTAAAACGTTGGTACCGTATTTTTTATGGTAAAATTCCGGCAACCGGTTTTTTATCGTACATTTTACGGAATTTGTTTACAGTGTACGTATGGTACATAATATATGGAGCACAAAACCAGTCATAAGTCGCTGGGGGATATTTGTAGCGATCGCCAAAAATACAGAGTATGGGTCAAAATGATCGATGTTTCTTTTATGCTAAAAATCATTAGGATATTAAGTAAAGATCATGTTCCATGAAGATATTTAGTAAATTTCCTACCGTAAACATATCAAAACTTGATTTTTGATTAGTAATATGCATTGCTAAGAGCTTCATTTGGACAACTTTATGTTGGATTTTTTTTGCACATCTCAGCCAAATATTGTCCTATCTTAACAAACCATACATCAATGCAAAGCTATTTATTCAGCTTCCAGATGATGTATACATCTCAATTTCGAGAAATGGACCCTTATGACTGGTTTTGTGGTCCATATACTGTAGTATTATACTGTCATTGCTGTGCCTTCTTTAATAAGGAAAATATTTCACATTTACTGTAAATGCAAAACCAGGTAACTGAGGAAATAAACCAAACTGGGAGACGAAGTTAGCTCAAATTCACAACCCATTACTGGAAAACTGGGTCAGCTGAGAGAAAAGGGGAAGAAAGATGGGGGAGGAATAGAAAGCAGACAGGCAGAGATGATAGGAGGGGTTTAAAGACCGAATATAACGCTTTACTCGATCCTGTCTGTCGTATTTCATTCCCAGTACATCATTGTAAGGTCGGTGAATTTCTGAAGAGATGATCATCAGCTCGCAGTCAGTAAGTCGCGGGTAAAAGCAGCCCAGAAACACGACCCGGATCCTCAGTCTTCGCGTCTCCGGACGAACGCTCAGAGATCATAACAGCGGGGACATAATGGTGTGAGTAAGCTATTACGTTATTAATCGCGCAAATATCGCCGAATTTGTAACCGTTTAGCGAAATGCATGAAAAGGAAACGCGGCTGTTTTGGGCTAATGATCAGGCTAGCGGCGTATTCAGCGGTCACGCGACTGTTTTTAACATTCACGTGGAACATGTGTAAGCTTTAGGTGTTAGATTTCATTTCTAAATGTTGAATTGTAGGGTTAAAGCCGCTGAATGTGGAGCACGCTGTATTTTATGCGTCTTCCGTAGCGGATGGTGACCCGCCATATGACAAGGTTAGTTAGCAACACATTTTAACGCGTCAAATATGATTTCGGCCTCAAAACTGTGTGAATATCGCTATCAAACAACATAAACCTGGTCTTGGTTGGTTTATACGTTAATGTTTAGTAAATCTAAAGATTTGTTGCGCGTTGAAGCTTTTAAAAGGGCATTAGGCTAATACGCGCGGGTTACCATTGGATTTAATGTAACGTTACTTCATATTAACACCTATTTATGTCCATTTTTACTTGTTTCGTTTTCTTTCTTCATGAATGCAATAATATTAAGATTGCAAATGGTTTGAATGTGCAGTAAACGTCAAATAGAGATTAAATATGAGAAGTGGCAAAAATTAACACTATTAAATGCCTTTATTTGACTTTTTAACCATTATCCCTGTTGAAAAAACCAGCATATGCTTGTTAGGCATGTTTTGACGCTGGGATGCATAAACCGGCAAATTTAATTGACTGTAATATCGCCGGCGACCCTTTTCCAAACATCCAGTGGTTCAACTCGCACGGACACCTGCTTGATACTAAGAAAAGTGGTACGTGTACTGTAAAAATCACCTTCTGACTCCAATGCATTCTCATATATCGCTGCACCCACACTTGGTCACTTTATACGTTTATTTGATTCTGTAGGTGTAATCCATTTATACTAAATATAAATCTGATCTACTGTTCCCGTACTATACACACGTCATGTAGTTGAGTTTGCTTCCATTATATAATCGCGTATGGCAGGTAGTGCTCAGTTTAGTCATTGCTCCAAGTGTAAAGACGTCCTGATGGGTTTGTGATGTGTACAACAAAACGAATAATTTCATTATTACAACCATTTAAGGGTTTACATTAGCATTCAAAAGTTTTGGGTCTTTTTTTGTACCTTCTCACCAAAGTTGCATTAATTTGATATAAAATACAGTAATAATGTGAAATATTATTACAATTTAATAAAAGAAAAAAGTGTGAAGTTGAACTTCATTTTAACTATCGTTAATCTGTTGTGGAGTACTAACTACTTCCTGAAAGACTACCAGCACTCGTAAAAATAAGCAGCACTTTGGCCTAGATTACATCAGCTGAAGGAATGTATCATTACATGTTGTTCATTCACAATAAGACCAGGATTTCACATTATGAAACTAAATATAGTACATTTTAATTTCATACTATTGACTTTGCACAGCTAATAGCCAGCAGTTAAAGATCAAGTTATTTGACTTTACTTACAAAATGCATTGCTGAATTGTTTCATAAAGGTCCGATTTAAAGACCTCAGGTTGCTGCCAGTAAGTAATGCGTTGGTGAACTGGGGCCAAAATGGAGTTATTGGCTTGGAGTTTATAAATTCCCATCAGCACTTTAAACACAGGCGACTTGTGCATTATGTATGTGCGTCCTTTAGACAAGGTGGATGGTTTAAGAGTTTCTGCACAAACAAGGCAGAAACTGAGCTTGGATCAGGGTCTTTATGTAAATGCATGTCTGTGGGTTATACAAAGTCAATTAATTTAGCATGGCTGCATTGTTCACGGAACTATGTTTTGCACTTTCATCTTGAGGAACTGGGTTTACAAAAAAAGGTGTTTACATGCACCAGCTATTTTGGAAGCATGTTTAGTCATGTCTTCAACTACGTTCCCAATTTGGTGGAAAGGTCGTAAATTTGCACACCTAGATGTTTGCCTTTTTCACTTTGCATGTAACCTCCTTTATTACAATTTTTTATTTTGTTGTAATGGAAGATGTCTTTCTCACATTTTTTTTAGTTTATTACGTCTGGATGCATATTGCCTAGAGAAATGGGAAGCATTTGTTCTGGTATCTTGATTGTGATCTGGCACGGACTAATGTGATTGACTTTTATGAAACTGTTTATGAGATAGCAGGTTGCTATTTTCAGCAGATGGGTTAATTGCTGGATTTAATCATTTGTCAGGTTACTGGCATCAGATCTAGATCTCATATCTTAGGAGATCATATTAAGAAACTAGTTATCCATGAGCAGAACTGCAGGTTTCGCTTGGCGTTATTTTAGCGCTTATTGCTTTTGGCTGATCAGAAATTATGATTACAAAGTCTACACGCATTTCTTCACATGTTTTTTGTATAGCCAATCACAGATAGACACTACTGTTTTCATTTGACTTTTTTTTTTTTCTGTGCTATTTTATGCCGGAATTAATTATTTTCCATAAACGACCCTAATTGCACGTAAAACAAACAGTGGTTGGTCACTTATGAGTTGATCAAACTCTCTCTTCATATCTAATGGTGCATTTCAAGTGCATTCCCTCCTTGGGAAGTCGTAATTTCAACCTCAGGTGCGTTCAGATCAGGTTTTTTATTTTATTTTATTACTGCTCTAAATTGAACTTGAACTAAATTGTACTTGCAATTTAGACAGTTTTATTGTAAAAGAGAATTTTTTTTAAAAATTAATTTACAATTTTACCATTTATACAGATGCTTTATCCATTGCTTTCACCATGTTTTCTCACTGACACACCCCCAACTCGTAAAGTTGGGTAATTTGCGATAAATTTACCACTTTTTTTTTTTTTTTGTGTGCTGGGTGAATTTTATCAAAAATTATTTTGCCCCTCTAAATTGTTGGGGTTTTCCAATTTATACAAATTTTCATAATACAATTCAAAAATATTATTTATTTCCAATCGATCTACAGTTTTCTCCCCATTCTCTAAGAAAATTGAATTGATGGCTCTATCTGTTTGTATTTTAATTCTCCACGCTAGCAGTTTTCCTGATTTTTTTATTTATAAGAACTGTTTTAGCCACATTCAGTTCTTAGATATTTTACTACTAGTTATTTCATTATATTTGGCTTTTAGTAAACAAAGTTCTTTCTGCTTTGCAGGGTCATTATTGCTAAACAGATGCTGTTCCAGTTTTCTAATTGTGCCTGATAAATTTTGGATCTATATCTTGTATAACTTAATATCTTCCCTCAAATATATGCCTTGAAGGCCTCCCATTTAACTGAGGCACTCGTCTGATTTGTAGCGACTAAAAAGTATAGGGTCTATTTTATTATCCAGAAATTTTACAAAATCATGATCAAGAAGCCAACTTGCTTGAAATCGAAATCTGGGAAGGGGGGGGAGTACAAGATTCTTTTTGGATTGTAAACGTAATAGGAGCATGATCGGACAATAGGATACTATCATACCAACTTTTACCTACCTTCGCCACCAAACCATTAGAAATTAGAAAATAATCTATTCTTGAAAATGTTTTATGTATTTGAAAAGCATGAATATTCTTTCTTGCTTGGATTGAGATGCCTCCAAATCTCAACTAAATTTAAATCAGTCATATACTTCAAAATAGTTTTTTTGGACTGTTGATGGGTACTATCTACTCCTGAAGAACGATCATACTCTGGGTTTAGTACACAATTAAAATCTCCTCCAATTAAATAATTTCCGGGATATGCTGATATAGTGAAAAAGAAATTCTGAAAAAAGGAAGGGTCATCTACATTAGGAGCGTATATGCTTATTAAATTAATATGACGTCAAAATTACACCATTAAGAATTATGTATCTCCCTAAGGGGTCTATATATTGCCATTTTAGCTGAAATGGAACGGACTTATGTATAAGAATCATGACTCCTCTGGCTCGAGAGGTGACAGATGCATTGAAAACTTGTCCTGGCCATCTCTTAGTGACTCTACTAATATCTTTTAATGAGTTTCTTGTAGAAAGATTGTTTGATTTCATTCGTTTCAGTCGACCTAGTACTTTAAGTTTAACCAAATTATTTAGTCCTCTTATATTCCAGCTACAAATATTTATCTCCGAGTTATTAACCATTTACCTACTTGTATAACCATGTAGATGCAGCTGTGCCTGGGCGTACGATATAGAATATAGAACAGAAGGAGAAAAGAAGGAAAAGGAGAAAAAAAACAAGCTTACATAAACAACCCCCTGCCATCCCACCCCACCTGCATTCCCCCAAATGGAAAGCATAATAATCCCCCTTACAATGAACTTTGGTTATGAAACATGTTTGATATGGAGCAACATTTAGCAAGCCTGCTCTCATTACTGTCAGCCCCGGGCTCGCTACCCAATGAAGAACATAACTGGGCCATGAATTTTATACTAAATCCCACCCTATAGAACATCCGCCTAGTTTAGATTGACTCGTGTGCATCTATTCATGAACTTGTTTACTCGTATAAATGAAAATGTTGGAGAAAGAAAAAAACCATTTAAACTATACATTTAAACCAGCAAGGTGATTAGCCGAAATATTCCGGTTCTGCTAGAATATAATCAATTTCAATTCCACACAAAATTTAAACAACTTGAACATAGAAATTATAGGGTATCCTTGACTTTGCAAACTAAACACAGAGTTCAAGTCCTTATGAGTCCACACTTACTTGTGTTAGTGTTTAAGCAGTGGTACGTATTGACTGAACAAAGTCATCCGCCTCAGCGACAGATTGAAAGACATGACGCTGGCCGTCGTGCGTGACTATCAGGTGCGCTGGGTAAAGCATCCCGTATCGAATTTCCATGTCTCTTAAGTTGTGCCTTTACTCCATCAAACTGTTGCTGTCGTTGGCGTGTCTCAGCTGATAGATTTGGAAAAAAGTCCTTCATTTTCCTAGCCACCCTCCAAGCCTTCTCCCTGTCCTGGCAATTCAGGAACTTCATCACGATCACTCTTGGAGTTGACGGGCGGTTCGGGTTAACTTGTCCTACGCGGTGCGCTCGTTCGATGACCGGTGGAGATCTGAACTCATCCTTCAGAATCGTGGGAATAAATTCTCAATGAAGGCACTTCCTCTGTCCTCCAAATCCTGTACCTTGTTTCGTAGAAATTCTGTTGTTTCTTCCGAGTTTTTTAACTTTGTGTTGAAGGGCTGAGACGTCCTCTTCAGTTTGTGCGATCCTCTCTTCAGCCTCTCCTATTCTTTGCGCTTGTGACAGTAGATCTGATTTTATGCCGTTTATAGCGTCCGTGGTGTCAGTGAATTGTCTCGAACAATCGGCTTTCAAAGACTGAACCGCACGTAGGATATTGCCGTTTGTGTCCTCGTTATTTTCACTCTGTGGCTCGGCTAGCTTCTTTTTAAAATTTATTTACAATTTTACCATTTATACAGATGCTTTATCCATTGCTTTCACCATGTTTTCTCACTGACACACCCCCAACTCGTAAAGTTGGGTAATTTACGATAAATTTACCACTTTTTTTTTTTTGTGTGCTGGGTAAAGCATCCCGTATTGAAATTCATGAGCTTCATACCATACGCAAATAGAATTTCTAAGGAAAGGATTGGGTAGATTTTTTTTAGTATTTTAACTGAAGAAGAATAAAGATACATATGTAATGGAATTGTTAATTCCATTTTTTTCCATATCTATCCATGCAGGAGGGTCTATTTCTATGAAGTAATACATAGCCGAACATAATGGAGCTGCCCAATAATAAAGTTTCATATTTGGTACTTTAAGTCCCCCCCTATCATATGGTAAATAAAGTAGGGACAGGCGTAACTGAGGATGCTTGTTATTCCATATAAACCTTATGAACACTTTCTTGAGTGTGCTAGCTTCTTGCTAGCTAGCACCTTGCCTTCCTCCTCCATCTGCCCAGACGGATTCGGATGCTGTGCAGGTTTGGTGGTTTTGGGTGGCATTTTGTCCCGCCAAACTTCAAAGTGTTTTCAAACACTTATTATATGAGTTCTAGCCTTTCTGAAAGAGTTAAAAACGAATATTCAGCAGCGAGCCCGATTCAAGCGACTTATCAGCTGCACGTCATAACCAGAAGTCAAATTTACCACTCTTAATTAAACTTTGGTGACATTCATGTAGATTTAACTCTTAAATACGATCTTGACTTGAACGCACCATAAGACGACAATTATTGGCCAGAATATACTGAAAAATGGAGTAGACTATGCCAAAAGTCAAAGATTTTTATGAATTTTTAATAACATAATTTTGTTCTTTCCAGTCTTTGGATTTCACTCAAGTTTACTCAATCTGTTTTTAATGGAAAAAAAGAAACTTTCAGCCTTCAATAAGTGATTTTTCTCTGTCTTTTTCTGCAGATGGTAAATGGTGGATTCTGGACAACGGCGTCCTCAACATCACCAGCATCACGTTTGCAGACCGCGGCAAATACACGTGCATGGCCTACAACGCGCACGGCAAGGCCAACTGCACGGTGACGCTGCGCGTGGTCTTCACCAACGGAGATATGGGTGTGTACTACATGGTGGTGTGTCTGGTGACGTTTACCATCATCATGATTCTGAACATCACTCGCCTTTGCATGATGAGCAGCCATCTGAAGAAAACCGAGAAGGCCATCAACGACTTCTTCCGCACGGAAGGTGCGGAAAAGCTCCAAAAGGCCTTCGAGATCGCGAAGCGAATTCCTATCATTACCTCTGCAAAAACGCTGGAGCTGGCGAAGGTCACGCAGTTCAAGACCATGGAGTTTGCGCGCTACATCGAGGAGCTAGCACGTAGCATACCGCTCCCGCCGCTGATCATGAACTGCCGCACCTTCATGGAGGAGATCCTCGAGGTCGTCGGCGTAGAGGAAATGAGACACACTTTTGTCCGACAAGCACCTGAGAATTACGGTGGGGTGGCTGCTGGCACTTCCGATGACGTTTTCACTATATTGCGCGAAAGAGAGCGGGCGAGGGAGAGGGAGCGCAGCGATTCTCCCGCCGTGGACTCGGACGACGCGTCGCTTCACGAGCAGCCTCAGCACATGGCCATTCAGGTTTCGATTCATCCGCCGTTAGCTGCAGCAGGATGCTGTAACGAGGAAGCTCCGCCTCTTTCCAAAATAGTCTCCTCTCCGTCCCCATTGGCTCAGCTGCCTCTGGAGGCGGAGTCTGAGGAGAAGGAAAACAAGGAGGAGTCTGTACAAGTAGGTGGTGCTGCACAGAAAACCCAAGTCATTTATGAAAGCCATGTGTAATATCCTGAAGGAAGGATAATGACCTCGCTATGCATTTTCTTTGGGAACTTAAAGGTCAAGATTTGTTTTTCTTCTCAGAAGTTGCTTTCTATTAGTCATCTTAGGAAAGATGAAGAATAGATGCATTTGTGTTTGGGTGAATCTCGCAAAACTCATATTGCTGGGTCATATTTTACCTTGGGGGGGAGAGGAATTGTATTTTGCGGTAAAGAAAATAAAGCCCATTTTCCATAGTTTCTGCAATGCGTTGTGATATTTTAATGAAGTTAACCCTCCATCTTTAGAAGCTATTGTAATTCATAAAATGTTCTCATTACTGTACAATTAAAAATATATTTTTAAAATTTTAAATGCTCAATATTCCTTCAGTTATACATCTTGGTTTGTATTTGTGACGGCTGAATTGAATTTAGGTTGATTTCAATTAAAACTGAACAGAATAATTGTTAGTACTTTTGCGATTATATAAAAATATTCGCATTACTGTGTATTTACATAAAAAAAAATTTTATTATTGTTATTTTGCATGACCGTAATGTGATTTTAAAGGCAAAATTTGCCTAAAATGATATCACCACAATCCCCCAAAATTATTAATAGTCCTAAAAATGGTTTATTTTATGCAATTTTTTTTCTTCTTTGAATTTTGGGGTAAAATATAGCCTTGTCATTTCTTTGTGAGATTGACCTGTGTAAGTTATATTTCCCATGACAATGAATACTCATGCTGAATGTATTTTGGGCGAAGTTCTCTATTTATTTAGAAAATCCAGGTTTGCTCACGATTAATTTTTTTCACAGTTTCCAGAAACTAGGGCTCTTGAGGGATACAAAGCTCACATCTCACGTCTTAATCATCAGACATATAGTTAGGTTGGATTTAGTTACGGATTATCCATTTCACGAATGAAAGAGAACGTACGACTGATTAATACATTTGGCTGAAATTACACCGTTTTGAGGCTGAAGTGCATTTTTCATTCCATAGAAATCCCACATCTTTGAAAATATTTCAGAAGCGATGTGCACAGTAGTTTCTAAGATCTCGCTCCCTCTTGTAATGCATGAAGAATGCATGTGGATCTGTCTTCAGTGCTGGACTCGGCGAGACTAAACGTTTGTTTGTGTGATCCTGTCTGCTATGTGTTATTTATCATCGGAGTCGGGTAAACTCGGCATCGACGCTTTGAATAGCATTGTAGAAATTTCACTTTGAGATTACGAGGCATTTTATTCCGTCGAGTTTCCACTGGAGTCTTCATACTGTTACTGTAATCAATGATCGTATTATTACCGTACTAGTAAATATTACTTTTGATTTCAGACGCACAGCTAGGTTTCTTTCTTTCGAGTCTTTTTGAGGGTTCAACAGAGAGTTCTTTATAACGGAGCCACGATAATAATGTTTAATCTCTTCTGATGTCCGAAACGCTTCTTAAAAAGGCTCACCTTTTAGTTTCAGTGCAAACAAGTTAGAGTTCTTCTTTTCTTTGGGCTCTAAATCCAGAGTAACCTAGCAGTCCGCTGCACTGCTGATATAGCTAGACGGGTTAAGCGCTAGTCATTACGAATGTTCCTGTTTTAGAAGTAGTGAAATAAAGCTGCTGTGTACCCATGATTCCCTGTGTGTCTTCATTCACTCGGATCTTTTGAGAAGCCTTTGTATCATCAAAATTGCATTACTCTTTGTAGGCACTTGTTGATCTTTTGCAGATCATTTTATGCTGTTTGAAGAACAACGTCTAGTGTTTTTCCTCTCGTGTCTTCTCCACTCAATCGTTAGAACTATATTGACTAAGCAGATTTTGAAGTTAGCGTTCAAATAAGTTGTTTTCAGTTCACAATGCATGAAATGGTGTTGTAAGTAGGGATGCACGATATATCGGCCACCATATCGGTATCGGCTGATAAATGCTAATTTTTTCTGTTATCGGTATCGGCCTGATAGGAAAATTTGGCCGATATCTTAAAGCCGATAAATAATGCATTATTTCCTTCAGAGACACTTCAGATGCGCGCTATTCGTTTGCAGCCTTTGTGCAATTGTACATTGTAATATTGTGTTTATTTGATGTATATCTGATTTATCTCATATAGAATGCGTTTGGTTAAGTTAAAAGAGCGCTTCAGTTTACCGGTGATCATCTTTAGCTCAGCACACGCAGCTCAAACAGCAGTGCACAACATTAATAACTATGATTGGGAATGTCGTGTATATAACATTCTAATGAGAATGACTGTGAATTCTTTGGGTTTAGTTGCTGTGTTTCAGCGCGTTGTTATGGGAAGAGCGCATCCACAACAGGATCACACATTCTGACTATAGCACGCAATAACTGCATAATTTTGTACATATATAAGTTGTAATATTATGTTTATGTTGTATTAATATTAATCCCAGGATGCATTTCCTTGAGTTAAATAAGCTGCCAGCAAAACGCTTCAGTTTACCATGTTCATTCAGCTCTTCAGCTTCAGCACGTGCAGCTCAAACGGCTGCTGTTTAAAACAGTGGTATTAATTTGTTACTTTTTCAAAATCATTGATACATTATTAATAACAACAACCACTTGTATTTTTCTCTTATTATTTTCATCAACAATATGGTTTAGTAATTAAAATCATTTAATTATTGTCCGTGCAGAGGCTATTCCGTTTTATTGATCTATGGCGCATTCATTTTGATTCTTTACACGTGTAATGATGTCCAGTGACTAGTTTGCATTATGCATAATTTTATTTATTTGTAAGACTTTTTTATGACTAAATTTGGTAATGGGAGAGTAAAAATATTGTTTAAACGTACACCGTTCAAACTAGGCTGCTTATGTTGAAGTGTTTGGGATGTGGCTTTTAATGATGAGACCTTTTTTGTAATCAGGCTCTCAAAAAGTATATAACAATTTGGATATAGATTTATCGGCCAACATATCGGTTACCGGCTTTCAAAAATAAAGAATAATCAGTTATCGGTATCGG